AACGAAGACTTGAAAGTAAAAGCCATCGCTTGCTCCGAGAAGCAGCGAAACAGCTTAAACTTATCAAGACTAATTGGTCTTTAATTAACTCAAAAGAACAATAGAATGAAATGACGTCATGCGCAAATTAACCAATTAGAAAATTCAAAACAAGTAAAACCGGTTTGTTGCGCTTTGTGAAAACAATTCGTGACGTCAGTTTCTAATGGATGATAGAATCTTAAACAAGTCAAACAGGTTTTTAGAAGAACTTCTTGAAAATTATTCCATCACTGAATTTATTTGAATGCGTTTGGAATACACTGAAAAGTGCACAGACGTAGTCAAAGTAGATCAAAGGCCCGCTTATTCACAGTACGGCCGATACTTTTGACTTTCTTCGCTTTTGTGAAGAAATTATGCGATGTTAAGGTTTTTCTCAACAGGAAATTTATACACAGTAAAGAGTTTTTAAATTATATTCCACATTTTCCACGCAATTCGAGATTAATATTAAACTATATTGTTACCCCTCGATTTTATCCTGAGGCATCCATTTTGTGAGCCAATTTTATTCTCCAAATAGGATTCCAAACAAACACAGAAGGAAATTCATTTTAATATTAATAAATCCATCATGAATAATGTACATTTTTATTATGAACTTTTTGCATGACTTTTAAAAAAGCTAGCGTGACCTACTCCAAACCCTCATAACTCAAAACCAAAACTTAGACATTGTGCGAAAATTCATTTGAAAGTTTTTTGGATGGTTTTGATTATATTTTTAGGGATAAAAATGCTTTGAAAGCTACGACATACAAAAACATTCAAAGTGTAATGACGTCATGTATCAGAGAAAGAACTGCGAAAATAAATGTAGTCATTGTATTTGTTAAAGGTTGGAGTGAATAGGTTGGAAGAGTGTTGGAGCTTCACCATCCACGCTATTGAAACAATACTACAGATTTATAAAAATATTCTATCAAAGAAGAAAAAAAATCGGTTGAAGAAGGACAACATGAAGCTTTTTGCACTATTTGTTTTCATTTCCTTGCAAACAGGTGAGAAAATTATAATAAGCTTTTTGACTTATGTGTGTAAACTTTCCTTTTCAAGTTTTGTGTAATTGCTAAGACATTATAGTTAGGAATATGATATATTTTTKACACTTTTTGTGCATTTTATTGTTGATCCATTATAAGGTAGATCATAAGTTTTAAAAATTGAAATGTCTTATAATKTTCTCAACACTTTTCTCGCTTATTTATAATTTATAACTGTAGGCGACGAAGAGGATTATGTCCAAAAAGCTCAATATTCGTTTTTTTTAAATGTATTTACTTAAAAATATCAAGACATATTATAGGTATATAATTTCGCTAATATACTATATAGATTTGGGTGAAAAATGACAGAGTCTGATCGACATACTATAACAGCATACTTAGATATTGAAACTTCGTAGAAAATCCATACAACCAAGCTATTATTATTATTATTATTTTTCGTTTTCCGCAAACGCTAAATTTYATAATACATACAGCCTGCTATATTACATTCGATTCAGTATAAATACCCTCGTAGTATACTTCGATCGATCGAATTCGGAAACAGTATTTGTTTTAGAATCTATATCACGAAATTTTTAAAATGTAGCTCTTATAGGAATTTAATTTTTTGGTATAGAACTGATAAAAGCTAATCCTTTTACAGTCGCATAAACTTTTAGGAAAAAAAACACAGTTATTYGATCAACGGTAAATCCTAGTTAAAAATTYAAATATCTTTYGGAGGAAAAAAATAAACAATTTTTTGAGAATTTTCAGTTTACTATAGCGCGTGCACCATATATACCAACATTTTTCTTTAAAGGGAGAAAGTTGGTCTTACATAAATTATAACACACTTTAATCCAGTTTTTCAAAAGAGTAAAGTTAGAAAAGTTAATATAGGATTTAATTTTTCAAAATATGCAGATTGTCGTGCTGTTAGAGAATATATATATATTTTGTTCCTAAATTACAATAAAAAATACTGCCATGAACAACTTGAGAAATTGTTATTTCTAAAAAAAATGAAAATTTGTTGACTTTTGAATTAGAAAAAAATGTAGAGATATATTTCAAACAATGCTACAGAATTTAAAAAAAAAGAAGAAAAATTAAAATGAAATAAAAAATGTATAGAAAGAAAACAATTCTTTGTCTTCTTTCATGGGCTATAAATTTGTTTTCTTTTTCTAAGATTTTTTTTTTTTAATGTGAGGAATTTTAGTTTTACTGTGAAAATAAGATTTAAGCAAAAACAGATTCTGTGTATTTTCGTCTGAAACTGTTGCTAAGGAACACTGCCGGACTAGTGCTTTATTCTTGTGAAAGACCCCTAAATTTCTCTTGAATAATTTGCCTAACTTGCTMTACCTTCATTTTTTACAACAAAGTGAGAGTATCTATCTGCACTACGTAGCCAAATGTTTTTGTAAGGTTTAAAACTTCAGTTTAAGTATCTAACATTAAAAAACACACGAAACGTTTAAATCAATATATCTAAATGTATATGGCCTCAATAAAACATTTCAATAAGCGATCTTTTGTATACTTCCTAAGCTTCAAATCTATGTAATACACATTCTTTATTGAGCAAAAGACCGTGCAATGAAAGAGATCTGTAAGTATAGAAGATATGATTGAAAAMGTTTGAAACTTCACGAGTTTTATCTAAATTGTTTCATATTTTACACATAATTGAGGCTAACACAGTTTGAAATAGATTGCGAAACTCAGCTATTATGATAATGATTCATTTGTTTAAGTAGTTTTCGACATAATGCAAGATCAGTAATATCGTTACCATTCTATGAGTTGCCTTATAAAASGTCTATTGAGGAAATGAAAAATGACCTCGCGTTTATAAGTTCGATTGTATTACTTTTACAATGCTAAAGAGTAATTTTGCAATCTAATTTGTTGTTTTTCATTAGAATATCCGGCCAGGCGGTGGAACAATGTAATAGCAAACATAGAACGGGCATAGAACCTTTATATCTAATTAGATAGAAATTCCGGATATAATTCTAATCAGATAGAAATTCGGTGGGTTTTGAAAAACACAAGAGAAGCAAGCTTATACTGAACACGAGCGTAGCGAAAAAAAATTATACAATGTTTCTGCTTTTTTCGAGCGAAAAACAAATCTTGCCGGTATAAGCCGTGTCTCTGTCCTCTGATACAAACACGGTCGTCAGCCAATCARAGTGCGTGCTAATATCAATAATTTATTATTTTATTTTTTCTCTTTTCTCGCTAAAACAGATACTAAATCGTTCAAATATTTTGAGATCATGTTTTAAATGGATATTTTGATACGATAAGTTTGCGAGCAAAATTTCTTCCATTGACTATATTAATAATATAAGATAATAAGAACATTTCTGATTTCACAATAGAAAATAAGCATCTTATGTGTCAAAGTTTGTAATTTTTTATTGTCGCGAAGCGACTTGGAGACTGGGATATGGTGCGATATAAATTTATATTATGGTCTTAATGACCTCAATGACCAACGTGAATTCCTTTTTTTAGCACACTATGACACACTCTAGCTAATAGTGGTTCCTAGGATCAGTATATATTTGGCTTGGGAATTATCGCAATATAATTTTGACGGGAAGCTGTATTTATAATCAAGTACATTTCATGACTAAGTCCCTGTTTACATGAGATAGGGTTCCCCTACATGGTATGGCTAACTCCTTTGTTTACTTTTCCCTGGAGGATTGAAAACAAAAGAGTTTGGCTCTACACCTAGGGGAACCCTATCTCATGTAAACAKGACCTAAGTGATAGCTTGACATTTAAAATCAATTCTTCGTTTTCACTATACGTCACAGCGGCCATCTTGGAGTAACTTGAACAAAGGATTTCCTATTAGTATCTATTGTTTATTCCTCCGATATGGCCGTCGATCTTTTGTCGTTTAAATCTCGTGGGTATGATTATTTTTATATTATTATTGAGAGCTTTAAAGTCTTACACACACAGAAAATGAACAGCTATCATCTTTGTATTGCGATGATTCTCCAGCAAAGAAGAGCGAAAAACAGCGGGTAATTTTTCTWTTTCTTTTAAACAATTTGACAAGAAACAAAGGACAGAACCATCTACAAAGCCATCTTGACGTCAACTAAAAACCTGGCTAGCCTTATTAATAAAGGATTTCTCACTATTATATTCCTCATACATCTTTATAGTGGTCTTTAGAATGTCAGTTGGACTTGATTGAAAGCTGTCAATCAAATGGAGAATGGAATGAGCTAGTTACCGTGAAGAAAATTGATCAAATTTGTGGGAAGAAAATCGAATACAAGAATAATGAAACGCAAGCAAGAAACATTGCATCTACACCCAGCCCATCCCGATCGACCCCACGCGGCTAAAATCGTTCGGAATATCAGTAATCAGTTTTTCCCATATTTTTTTTAAGTGAAAATTTATCTCATTTCACATGTATRTTGAATTAAAAACGATTTCAATCGAACCTGCATCTCAATAGATATAATTAGGAACTGTTTACTTTGTATTCAATTTCCCTTGTGTAAAGTGTACGTATTGTTGCTAAGACTGTTCCAGTTGAGTGATAAGTAGGAATTAAACTGATAGTCACTAAAGTATTAGGCAGGAACTACTCAAAGTCTCTGAGTATATTCCAGAACATAGCGAAAACAATCTAATTAACAACTACTTCAAAACAATTACTAAGTGAATTCGAACTAGGAAAAGAAAGCATTTGTAAGTCAAATGTTGTTAAGATAATCAATTAACTAGATGATCGAGCAAATGAAATTTACTTATATTTTGCCACGTCGATATAAGAATCGTCAGAAATACCCCTGAAAACCTTTATAAATGTGAAACTAAATTATTGAACTTATTGACTAAATAAAGGGAGAGAGTAGGAAATATTTACTGCATTCAAATACCTGTCAAATTATGAGATAGCAAATGAACTGTTCGGCGGCCATCTTGAATCCAGAATGCTATGAATAAACATTGGCTACTTTCATATCGAGGCGGTCTGGGAACAAGTCGCCTAAAGCTTATTCTATAGCGGGCGACACAAAACTTACATAAAAAGAAAAATTGAGTTTAGAGTAGCGGAGTGTAAACGTTTGCTGCAAATGGGATAAAAGGCAAACATTTTAAAATAATTTTCACAAGCTAGAGTTTGCTATAAGAAATGTCATGGTTGTTGTGTTTGATGGCGTCAAGTCATCCCTCCAACCACATATTCATGTCTTTGCAAAGGCTAGCATCTTTAAATAACAATAAATCAATATTGCTCTTTATTCGGTTCGCACCAAGCTTGATGTTTTGTTAATCTAAATGCACGTTTTTTACGTGTGTTTCCTGTTGTATGTTAAAATTCGGAGGGCTTTTTTCCAGACCTATCGCACACATGATGTAGATAATCATAAAACGCCATTATATAAGGCTTATTCAAGATGGCGGCCGTATTGGTAATACGTTCTCCGTCTTCTCCGTGTCGAATCCGCAATGMTACAAAAGGGTTTGGATAACTGAAAGAATATTAAATCGGGATAAATTTTAGTTCTGCGGAAAATGAAACCTTTCAAATGAACGTTCCCAAGTTATTTTTTGATGATTCCCATTCAGATTTCACGTTATCATTTCTATTTTATCTATTTATAGCATAATYTATGTTTTTATGATTTTGAGCACTAAAAAGTGGGATTTCTCGCACCCTAAACAGCTTGGATAAGGTATTTTTTATCTTTCAACAGCATGTACAGCCCTGCAGTGCTATACCTGCGATGGTGACGATTGTACGGATGCAAAACCAACCACMTGTGTCAATAAGTGCAAGATTACMATGGATACATGTATCCGAACTGAATACAAGAGCGGGARGATTGAAAAGGGTTGTTCGTCTACTAACCGATGCGAGGGCAAGAGAGTTGGATGTGAAGAAGGAACCTACAAACAAGACTGCAAAGAAGTTACATGCTGCACAGGCGATCTCTGCAATGGGAGCAGAAATTTTAAGCCTGTGATTCCGGTTATTGCTATGGCAATTGCCGTAGCTAAGTACTTGATATAGCTATGGCAACATTAAGGCACAGGAAGCCCAAATATTTGCAAGTGTACAAATGTAAATTATTGTTGAACTTTGTAGAATTAGAACAAACACCACTTCATTTGTAATATGGTCCAAAAAAATGCCCTTTATCAAACTGTGAAACAATTACTAGAGAGAATTCAAAAGCCCGTGAAATGGATATTGCACTTGATAGAGCAAACGCAGGAAAACCACTGAGATAAAATCAAACTATGTACTAACAAATAGCTGCTATTTAGAGACAAATCGTCAGTATCAATGAACCTGAACGCAGTGCAGATGAATTAAAAATGGTCACATGTGGATTAAACTTCATTGTGTTCTGGATCATTGATACTGACAATTTGTATCTAAATAGTCGCTATTTGTTAGTATTTAGTATGATTTTATTTCATGGTTTTCCTGCGTTTGCTGTAGTACGCCCATATTGCATTGTTTTCTTTTGTGCCTATTTGACTATAACACTTAATAGTCACACTTTGTTTCACGGGTTTAGAGTCATTTTCACTCGTCTGTGAAATAGGAATTATTAAATACTATTACCCCTTATTAGCTCACAATAGCTCAACTTATGACATGAAACAAACTAATTAGGCAAACACGGTTTTGTTTTTGCCTTTTGGTAGCCTACTACACCCTAATAGTTACTATTAAACACTGACTAGTAGTTATTGTTTCACAGACGGATGAAAATGACTCTACTGACTTCTCTATAACTAATATATCTAAAGTAACGTTTGGACGTGCATTTTTAAGTCATCYGGAGAGAAACAAACATACACAGCCGTAAAGCATGATGGGATGCCCGAGATTAAAAAATGCTATAATCTAGTAATAATATTGATAATACATCCATCAATAGTCTCCTTCACGGATACCTGCGCCATCTTGAAAGGTAGCCGTGCCTTTGCATCGAAGCGAGACGACCGTTGAGCGTGCAATGATAGATACCCGAGAATAATTGTCTGTAGGTGTGAATAAAAGGTTTCTATCATTGCACGCTTAACGGTTGTTTCGCTTCGATGACAAGGCACGGCTACCTTTCAAGATGGCGCAGGGAACCGTGAAGGAGACTATTGATTCAAAAACGAGCACTCAAAGATGTGATTTCCAAAGACTTTTTTGAAATGCAAGATCGCGGTGTATTCTAGCTTCATTACACAATGGAATTGTATATATTATTAAAGAATGGAGCTCAAGACAACGATTCTATATCCAAAAAGTTAATGAAATCATTATATATGCAGCACGCATGTGCATTCMTTCTGAATAAAATATTCTACTTCTACATGTATTTCTACTTATTTTAAGAAATGACAAACTGTCGCACATCTCACAAATCACTGAACAGCAATTCATGCTCCATTTCTTGTTTATYACTGCTTAAATAAACCCGGATTTTTCTGGATAAACCTGTTAAACTTGAGTAAAATGTACACCCCTTAATTTACTGAAGAAACAGCAATSGTTTTAGATCTTACAGTGCTAAACATACACAACTTTAGTGTACAAACGTTAGACATTAAGTTCTTATAAGCCTAAAGAAGCCACATAGAGGAACGAAGTAGGACACAAACAGGGTTAGTGAATTGAATCATTGTTCTCCAAAGACACCATTTAGAAAAGCTCAGTTTGTAACTGTTGTTCTTTTTAGATGGAATCTTGGTAACGGGTTCCCTTTGTTATGGTAAAGAAAGTAGACTGGTCATGAATTTGTCAACGAGAGAGGATTCCAATTGCCTGTGTTCGAAATCCCCTTTATTATTGGGCCTCGACTTTCAAGCACGCACAAAAAAAGATAATTTTATATCAGGCAAGGATCCTCAGAGTGTTTGATTCAAAGAAGATTCCAAAAGCTTGGAGCATAACAATTTTCACGAGAACTACAACAGCAATACTCCCACAATTCCTGTCGCGACTAKAAYCCAGGCTYTTGAAGATGACTTAGAAGTCCCAGAAAATATTCTCCAGAAATCAGCTTTGAAGGGATTGATTTCGACCTTTTTCTTGAGTTTGAGAGTAGGTTTTTCTTCTGTCTTGTGTTGTCGATTGTCACTGGTAACTTTAGTTTTCTGCTTCTTTGTGTTCAATGTGGGATGTTCCATTGGTTGTATTGTGGTAGGTTTGGGTAAATATTCCTTTGGAACATCTTAAATTTAGAAAGAAGACGTTTAAAATATATTCGAAGTGCGTTGCCAAACAACTGCCACACAGCATTAAGAGTGTGTCTATGACAAAACCAGGCAAAACAAGGAAGTAGGTGCTGCATGGGGGTCAGCCGATTATACTGAGACTTGACACACGTTTTGCATTTAGTAAGTTATTTAGTATTCTAGATTTTTTTTAGATCGGTCAAAAGGAGGGAGGAGTTAGGTACCCCTGGAACATTACCATTTTAAGCACAAAAATTGCAGAAATTCAGAAATAAACTTCAACTTTGCAGAAGTTAAAAGCGTAACTGTTATTCACAGCAACCTCAAATTTCTTGACATACAAGATTACCATCTCAGTTACCGATATCAGGCATAGAGATGGGAATATMTGTCAATGCGTTGCCATAGCAATCAAATGACTGGACACAAAAGTTCTCAATTTTGAATTGATTGAAAATTCCCTTTGGCCCTTWGGTGGTATTCGAAGTATAAATAGATTTCTGAATCTTTAGCGTCCCTACTTGATTTTCAATGCATTGTGGGATTATTTTCAAGAGAAAACAAAAGAAATCCGCCATGTTCTGTCCCAAACATATCCTACAATGCATTGCGTATACTGTACATGACGTAAAAGCTTCAGAGGTCTATTGTTTTATAGGTAAGTCTTCACTCACCCATAGTTATCCTGACTGAAACATCATCTCTGGTAGCAAAGGCGTTTACTCGATAAGCCACGCACGATACGACGATATCGCACTGAAGTCGATTCCCTGCGATGATCTCACACTGGAATCTCTCCTTTATCTCCTTAAACCTCTCTAAAGGAAGCTTAAAATCGCTTGTAATCTTTGTATTGCTGTAACTTTGAGTATATGTGCTGTTTGCGACAGCTTTGCCCTTGATAGACCACTTGATTTTGACTTTGTCRTCACCTTTAGCGGTACATCGAAACGACATGTGATTTCCCGACCCAATTTTTACTTCTTCTGTGGCCATTGTTTGTATTTTTACATTTTCTGGTGGTGGAGCTAGAAAAATTAAACAAGAATAACGATGCTGTGTTTTACGACAGAATCTTTTTTCATATATAACATATGATGAGCAGTCCACTGGAAAATCTCAGTCTTTTACATACTATGTAAATATTTTGGAAATTGTATTTTACAAGCAATTTTTTCACATTTACAAAAAATCTGCATTGAGTACGAGGAATAATTTACAAATGATTTTTAAATCATTAAAAAAAAAATGATTTTTAAATCATTTAAACCTTTTAAAAAAGGTCTTTTGAAATTTATATAGTATGTAAAAGTACCTTGGTCCTGTAAAATCAATTTTACAGTCTGTTTACAAACAATTTACACATGATTTAAACAGTATGTAAAAGTCTGAGGTTTTCCRGTGATATTTCATAGTCGCTTGGACATACGAAATTTATCTTCTCGTGTTACGCTCACTTGTGAGAGATSTTTTCAACACTCGAAGATAAAATCCGTATCTTCGCGCGCCCATGAAATATCCTCWATTTATCATGTTTGAGTGCTGTTTTTTTTCACAAGCTTCGTAACATTCAATGACAAATGTTGTTAACAAAACTACTGTTGAGCATTTTCCATTTATTTTAGCGTGCACCTGTTCCGTCTACGCGTAGACGATCTGAATGCACAATAAGACTGCATAAACGGTGCGTTTTGATTCCCCGTCCTTACTGACCTACACAATAGTCTCCTTCACGGTTCCATGCGCCATCTTGAAAGGTAGCCGTGCCTTTGCATCGAAGCAAGACGACCGTTGAGCGTGTAATGATAGATACCTGTGAATAATTGTCTGTAGGTGTGAAAGAAAGTTTCTATCATTGCGCGCTCAACGGTCGCCTCGCTTCGATTCAAAGGCACGGCTACCTTTCAAGATGGCGCAGGGAAGACAATTTGTATGGAAGGTCAACATAAATACAAACACACTATGCTACATCTGTTTACCRTTCCTACCTTTTGAGTTTCCATAAAAATCGACTCTCATGCAAGCGTTATCTCTGTATTTCTTGACAGTCGTGACTCTTATGTAGCGGGCAAAGACAGGCTTCTTTAGCCAGATAACATTTGTTCCTACATCGATTTTAAAAGGAACTTCCTGGAAAATAAGTAGAAATATTTCCCTTTTTTCTAGAGTGATCKCACTAAACCGTGCAAATGTACAAACTAAATAGTGCTATTAAGCTGTACCAGAAACCTATAAGGGACTTGAAACGTGTAACGCCGTGCCAACCGTTGGAATATTCAAATCTAATTTCCTTATTTGCAACAATCAAATTTACCCTATAGCCAACCAGAACGGGCCTTAAATCTCTTATCCAACGGCCGAATTTTCCAAATATGGTCATAATGGTCGTTTTCGAATTTTTAATGACTTTGAGTATTCCGACGCTTGTGGTACTAAAGAAATGTATAAGTCCCTTATAGGTTTCTGGCTGTATTTAGAAAATCGTGCATGCGGTAGAGTGATCGCACTTAAACCGTGCAACTGTACAAACTAAATAGTGCTGTACAAAATCTAAGTAGTACTAATTTGTACTAAAAGTGGACCTGAAGCAAGAMGGTATTGAATGCTTCATTTGTATCAATTCAATTTAATTTGCGTACCGCATGCACGATTTACTAAATACAACTAAATAGCACTATTTAATTTGTACRGTTGCACGGTTTAAGTGCGATCACTCTAYTGAAAGCACTYTAGTTAGTTTATAACTAAGAATTGTTTCACACTTATGCACTAAAATACCAACCTTCAACACGGTCGACATTCTAGACTTGATAATACCATACCCAAGGCTATAACTAGACACCCAGACAGGATATTTCGAGTTCCTTTGAATCGCCATTCCATTTAACTCCTTTACAGTTCCAAGATCAATTTGCAGATATGGTGAGGGATCTTTTACGCCTGCGCACCACGAATAGATACCGTATAGACGAGCTTTTTTCGGTCTAAAATCCTCGTGCAAGTAGCTGGATGCTGTTATCTGACTATCAGAAAGATAAGGCTGTCCTTTTACTTTTTCAAGYCCCAAAGAGCTTTTCCAGGCTGAGAAGATAACAATGATGCATTCAGAGTGAAGACACGAAACCCGAGAGATTTGGACGCAATAGTCTCCTTCACGGTTATTCCCTGCGCCAACTTGAAAGGTAGCAGTGCCTGTACACATCGAAGCAAGGCAACCGTTGAGCGTGCAATTATAGATACCTCTGAATAATAGGCGATTTGCATTATGGCGTCATTTACTACAACTACCAGAATGCCTTGCCCACTTTCTTTTGTAATGCAATTAGTGACAATTGTTTTACTAATCGCTAAGGGGATTAGAAATCTGAATAACAAAGAAAATGCGCAAGGCTTTCTGGCAGTTGTTGTAAAGTTACGCCATCATTTAAATGGCCTATTGCCTGTAGGTATGAAAGAAGGTTGTTATCATTGCAGGCTCAACGGTCGTCTCGCTTCGATGTAAAGGCACGGCTACCTTTCAAGATGGCGCAGGGAACCGTGAAGGAGACTATTTAAGTGATATCCCGACTTCCCTGTATATTCTAAAATTACAATACATCGTAATATAACAAAACTTTCTCTTCATAATCCCTTTATGTTCTATGAATGGAGATATTGTAAGATTCCCTTTAAAAATGACTGATGAAAACAGATTGCAAATGGATAGTTGATATCGTGTCATTTTCCCTATATGAATAAACTAGATCAAGACCGCATTGAATGTCGGTTGGTGATGACTCAATTATTCCAACGATTGAAATGTTTTCTTGAAAGACGAARGGTTTAAACAAGCATAGGTTGATTTATCGTTTACCTTGTTTCAAGCCATACAATTCTGCTCTAACGCTTTTCATTCCCTTGTACTTTATAGGTTCAATCACGACAAACTTTGCGATATGTATTCGAGAAAACGCATACTTGTCGATATGGACTGTTGGATAGTGGGAATCTGGATACTTATTGCCTGGAATTTCCTGTCCAAGAAAAACATATGTTAGATTGAGTTTTTTATTGAAAAATGTCTAATCACTAGGCTATTAGTATCATTATTTTTATATGGTTCAGTGACCGATATTCATATTCTAGTAATTCGATCTTTCAAATGAGCTCATATCATAAAATGCAAAGAACGTTTACCAAGATCGAAAACTCAAGGTTCATTTGGCTTGGATTGATAAGGAATATTTTTTCTAATGAGAAGAGTCCATTTGGGCAAGGGAGCTATGGTGTCATAAGTCCCTTTGTTTCACTTTATAGCTCAATGCATGTATTACCTTATGGTAATATGTCCATTTAGTACCGTCCATGGAAAACGCAACTTTGAAAGTTAGAGTTCTTTCGTCTATTCTAAATGACTGACCAGTCGGCTGGATTCCCACTCCGCATAGAATATGAGGCGCTCCAAGGTCAATCTGTTAATATGAATTGAACAGTACCCTGACAAAACGACAAAAGCAACAAAAACAACAACAACGACAACAACAACAACAACAACAACCACCACCACCACCACCACCACAACAACAACCACAGAAGCAACAACATCAACAAAACATCAACAAAACAGCAGCAGTAACAGCGACAACAACAGCAGGAACAACAACAACAGCAGCAGCAGCAACAACAACAGCAACAAAAATAATAATAATAATAATAATAATAATAATAACAACAACAACAACAACAAAAACAACAATAAGAACAAGAGCAACAATAACAGCATCAACAATAACAGCAACAGCAACATCACATTTAAAATATTTAAAACTCGACCGCATTGAATGCCGGTTGCCCATGGCTCTTTAAATTGTTCATAGATAATGGCTGATATACTGGATCTTTGACAAACAAAAGAATAAAGTTATGTATGGACATACCTGTAGCTGGCCTAATTTGTCAGTGGCTTTAGGCTGCCAGCAATGACTGTTCTGTGTTCTAGCGTGATATGGAACGTACTTGTGATGTAGATGTGAAGTGGCGACAAATCGATAATCTGGAATTGTGGGGAAAGGTTCTCCTAGCCCTGAAGCTGATATATCACACGCTGAAAACCGAAAACAAACATTTGTTGCAACTTCTTTTCATTTAAGAGTATTCTATATTCAAATGACCGTATTTATCTTAAAATTAAATGACAGTGAAACTAAGTACCAATCTTAGAGTCTATAACTAGTCTACATCGATTGATATTTACGGATTATAGTATGTTTGTCCAACTGAACAAAATCTACTAATGTCAATTAATTCAGAGTACAACATGCTCATAAACTTAACTTCATCAATAGTCTCCTTCACGGATACCTGCGCCATCTTGAAAGGTAGCCGTGCCCTTGCACCGAAGCGAGACGACGACCGTTGAGCGTGCAATGATAGATACCTGTGAAAAATTGTCTGTAGGTGTGAAGGAAGGTTTCTATCATTGCACGCTCAACGGTTGTCTCGCTTCGATGACAAGGCACGGCTACCTTTCAAGATGGCGCAGGTAACCGTGAAGAAGACTATTAGACTCGACTCGACAAAAGATCGACGTTTGAAACGGGNAAAATGACTGATGAAAACAGATTGCAAATGGATAGTTGATATCGTGTCATTTTCCCTATATGAATAAACTAGATCAAGACCGCATTGAATGTCGGTTGGTGATGACTCAATTATTCCAACGATTGAAATGTTTTCTTGAAAGACGAARGGTTTAAACAAGCATAGGTTGATTTATCGTTTACCTTGTTTCAAGCCATACAATTCTGCTCTAACGCTTTTCATTCCCTTGTACTTTATAGGTTCAATCACGACAAACTTTGCGATATGTATTCGAGAAAACGCATACTTGTCGATATGGACTGTTGGATAGTGGGAATCTGGATACTTATTGCCTGGAATTTCCTGTCCAAGAAAAACATATGTTAGATTGAGTTTTTTATTGAAAAATGTCTAAGCACTAAGCGATTAGTATCAATATCTTTATATGGTTCAGTGACCGATATTCACATTCTAGTAATTCGATCTTTCAAATGAGCTCATATCATAAAATGCAAAGAACGTTTACCAAGATCGAAAACTCAAGGTTCATTTGGCTTGGATTGATAAGGAATATTTTTTCTAATGAGAAGAGTCCATTTGGGCAAGGGAGCTATGGTGTCATAAGTCCCTTTGTTTCACTTTATAGCTCAATGCATGTATTACCTTATGGTAATATGTCCATTTAGTACCGTCCATGGAAAACGCAACTTTAAAAGTTAGAGTTCTTTCGTCTATTCTAAATGACTGACCAGTCGGCTGGATTCCTACTCCGCATAGAATATGAGGCGCTCCAAGGTCAATCTGTTAATATGAATTGAACAGTACCCTGACAAAATAATAAAAACAACAGGAACAGCAATAGCAGCAACAAAAACAACTGCAACAACAACAACAACCACAGCAACAACATCAACAAAAACAGCAGCAGTAACAGCGACAACAACAGCAAGAACACCAACAACAGCAATAATAACAGCAACAGCAGCAACAACAACAACAGCAGCAACAACAACAACAACAGCAACAAAAACAATAATAATAATAACAACAACAACAACAATAAGAACAACAGCAACACTAACAGCATCAACAACAACAGCAACAGCAACAGCAACATCACATTTGAAATATTTAAAACTCGACCGCATTGAATGACGGTTATAAACAGCTCTTTAAATTGTTTATAGATCATGGCTGATATATACTGGATCTTTGACACACAAAAGAATAAAGTTATGTATGGACATACCTGTAGCTGGCCTAATTTGTCAGTGGCTTTAGGCTGCCAGCAATGACTGTTCTGTGTTCTAGCGTGATATGGAACGTACTTGTGATGTAGATGTGAAGTGGCGACAAATCGATAATCTGGAATTGTKGGGAARGGTTCTCCTAGCCCTGAAGCTGATATATCACACGCTGAAAACCGAAAACAAACATTTGTTGCAACTTCTTTTCATTTAAGAGTATTCTATATTCAAATGACCGTATTTATCTTAAAATTAAATGACAGTGAAACTAAGTATGATAGTCAGAGCCAATCTTAGAGTCTATAACTAGTCTACATCGATTGATATTTACGGATTATAGTAAGTTTGTCCAACTGAACAAAATCTACTAATGTCAATTAATTCAGAGTACAACATGCTCATAAACTTAACTTCACCAATAGTCTCCTTCACGGATACCTGCGCCATCTTGAAAGGTAGCCGTGCCCTTGCACCGAAGCGAGACGACGACCGTTGAGCGTGCAATGATAGATACCTGTGAATAATTGTCTGTAGGTGTGAAAGAAGGTTTCTATCATTGCACGCTCAACGGTTGTCTCGCTTCGATGACAAGGCACGGCTACCTTTCAAGATGGCGCAGGTAACCGTGAAGAAGACTATTAGACTCGACTCGACAAAAGATCGACGTTTGAAACGGGCCTAACTTACTTGTTCTCTTTACTCCATAAAGCTCAATTCGCATGCACCGTGCACCTCGGTAGCCTTTAGGTACAAGCCGTACATATCTACCAACAGTCGCTTCGTTCAGGTAGTTCTTGGCAGTGATGTTGTTATCAGTGTTACCAACGAACATCTAAAATACGAAAATCGTGGAAGCTAGTTAGAATTGTACCACACAAGCCAGAAAAAAAAACTATTATTCAGTTAGCAACAGCAGGGCAAAGCATAGGTGTTGTGTTCCTTGTTTTATAATATGATTGAATTAAATTTGCGCGATTTGATTGGCTTAGAGGAGTGGTATTTATCCTTAATAGTGGTATTTCAAATTGCACAATTTATTCAACCATTTTATAAACAAATAACAGCATGTTTTGTAGTGGTATTTGGGAAAAATATTTCAAAATTGTCACAAATTTTGTTTGACAATTCTGAAATATCACGCGTGGTGTTTATTCAATATACCACTACAAAAACATGCTATTACCCATACATACCAATGATATAATTATCGAAAAGAATCGAGTTTTCAACTTGCGTGGAGTATACGTCATAAATCTTTATCAAAACGTGGTATGGTATTGGTATCGCTGTACATTTAGGGTTCAAAATGCCCCTTATCTGTGAAATTTTAGTTCCGCGGAAATTTCCATTCCTTGATTCAATCTACGTTTAATTCGATCGACCATCTCTAACCTTGATCTGGTTRTTCTCCTTGTAATCTTGCCATTTCTTGCCATCCATAGATGTCGCTAGCAAGTACTTGGTAACCATTTCATCAGATTTTACATTCCCTTGCGTTGCCACGGCGCACAGAACATGAGCTACGCCCAAGTCAATCTGCAGAACAGGGTTTTTGTCGTCTGCGCCTGCGCACCAAGMGTCTTTTCCTTCATAATCAAGTCGCGCGTATCTAGGTCTGGTGTCTTTATTGAGAGTAGATGTTGCTTTTATTTGAGAGTCTTTGATATAACCGSTTGCTATGCCAACTGGGTGGTTATCGCACGTTGCTATAGAGACAAAAAGATACACAACTTACACAGAGTCACAGTAAAGATTCTTTCAGAAATGTTTTTGAAAGGTTTTTTCATAATACAGCAAACGCTGAGTAAACGCAGGAAAACAATGGAATAGAATTAAACTAAATACTAACAAATAGCGGCTATTTAGAGACAAATTGTCAGTATCAATGAACCAGAACGCAATAAAGATGAATGAAAAATGGTCACAAGTGGATTCATCTTGATTGTGTTCTGGATCATTGATACTTACAAATGGTCTCTAAATAGCCGCTATTTGTTAGTATTTAGTTTGATTTTATTTCATAGTTTTCCTGCGTTTGCTCTATTCTTGGTGTGCAACCACGTGACCAAGAATCCCCTGAGAAATAATGAACAAAGCTATCGCCACCATGTTGGATGAATGAACAAGAGAAACTAACGAGGAATGCTTTGTGATCTTCATCCAACGTGGCGGTGATGACGTAACTTGCACGCCAAGAATTCTGAGAGAAGGTAACGTTTGCCTTCTTTATATACGGAGAAAGTGCGCATTGTGACAAAGCAATACTGTTTCTCCTTTGTAGAAGTATAGAACACAGACTTCCTCTACTCACAAGAAAATTGAGAGGAGAAGGAAAGGGTAAGTATGAGTCTGGTTAATTACCGTAACATCCATACAGCTCGATTCTCATTGCAATTACTCCATTCCACGCCAAAGGAACAACTCTGATATGTCTTGTAGTCAGTGCCATGTCAAAGAGGTGTTTCATGAGTTTAATCTCTTTGCTGTTACCWGTATATGACTAAAATTGGATATGATATATAAGATTCGCATAAAGTTATTTCAGAAAACTTAAAACCGTGCAACTGTACAAAATCTAAGTACTAATTTGTACTAAAAGTGGACCTAAAGCAAGACGATATTGAATGCTTCATTTGTATCAATTCAATTTAATTTGCGTACCGCATGCACGATTTACTAAATACAACTAAATAGAACTATTTAATAATGTAACTTTGAAACCTTATTTTTGCTATATATATCTTTCACTGTCTTATGAATTTGAAGGTTCGTTTAATTACATATTACCAACAGAAGCATGACATATGGAAAGCACAAAAGAAACCACAACACTATAGACTTCCATACCTTTAGGGCCTTCCATACATTCCCGTCCAAGCTGTGCTTTATAGTAAAKGACGTCACCCACCATGGCTTATCTACATCACCTTGGGTCGCAATCCCTCTCACAGTWGCTAGCCGACCAAAGTTCACTTGAAGATAAGCTCCTTCTTTACCCTCAGCGCGCCAAGAGTATTTGTAGTTAAGACGGGCAGATTGTTTGCCGTATTTTTCTCTTTCGGCTGTTGTTTCCGATGAGGCTGAAAGTTGGGAGTCCTGGATTGCGTAGTTCTGCATTCCAAGTGGAGACATACATGGACCATCTAATGGAAAATATAAGAAAGTACTTATATTCGTCTACAAACAGTATAAGCAACATGACCGACTATTATAAAACCGTGMAAAAGCTAATTAGAGTTCTTAAAATCGTGAAAAGYACTTTCCAAATTSGCAATATAGTGTAGATTAGAAAATAAGCAATAGGAATTCATTACAATTTAGCAATTTTCAATGTKAAATKTGTCATGGATTTTGTTTGCACTCAAGATTTCTTCAAGCATTTGATAAAAGGACAACTTACCAAATTCCAAAGCCACACTCTGCTGTACAAAGATGAGCAGTCCAGCAAGAACGACAAATGCGCTTCTCTGGACCTTCATGTTATTCAGCTCGTGGMAAACCTCACATTGTCGCAAACAGCCTTAAAAGGCGCGCGCGCCTGTYTCTTAATTGGAGGATAATTGCTCGACTATACTATGACGTCACATCAAACACTGCTTGGAAAATAGGTAAAAATTGTSCAATAGAATCGGAAAGATGTTATGTAATCACACAAGCAAAGATTTTTCATTGAAAATATTGAAAATATACGTGTTAGAATTATGGGGCTAGTTAATTGAAAATTAAAACGTCAGATAGCTTACAGGGATTTTATTCAAAGGGCCATGGTCCAACAGCATCCCTTTCGAGCTTTTTTTACGTTTGAAAATATAAATACATCGCAGTATAAGCAAAAACTTACTCTTTATTATCCTTTATGCTCTATGAATGGAGATATTGTAAGATTCGACTTTTAAAAACTGATGGATGGATTAAGAATGAATATTTGAAGTCACCTCACTTTCTATGTACACGGCCGCATTGACTGCCGGTTGACCATGGCACTTTAAGACTAACTTTTTAAGGGCGGAAACGAATAATCGAATAATCGATTAAACAAATGAATAAACAACAAGATCCAAGTTCCTAATCAACTTTATACTGATATTTACAAGCAGTATTTAACAGTCTTATGTACAATAATGCATACAATAACTCCAAGTYTAAACTATCTATACCATGCGAATCAAAGTTTTATATCATCCTTGAAGATGCTATATCTTTCATAAAAAATGACATGCTTATTGACGAACTCATTTCAATCAATGAAAAAGACCTATCAACGACCGATGCGCGCGAGTTTCGATTGAATACATAACGAYATACAACCAATCATTGCTTGGCAAGCACAATCCATGGTCATTGAGGGCTAATGAACGATTCTGTCTGTCTAATCGCTTTTTTGTTAACCTTAAAATTAAAGSTAAACAAGSCGCTAAGWKCGCATCATATCAGTAGGGACCGGGAGTTTCGCTTCTGCCTTAACACAGTAAGGAATGAGCTTTTCTTGGACACAAACATGTATCAGGCTTCTAAATATTGTAACTTGTCTTGTAAATAGTTATATAGCACTAATAAGCACTAAAAATGACTATTTTACGAACTACAGTTGTGTTTCTACAAGCACATTGTGTCATTAGTGCCAAATTGCACTAAATTATATATCTATCTAAAGGATGTTACTTCTGCAGCCRGTTTCAACAGCACAAGCCAAGCAAAAMGCCAATAACCAGTAAAATAATAAAACCAATTATCGAACAGGTAAGGATTATAGGTAGCATTATGGAGTGCAATCCTTTCGTCGATGGKGCTTTCTKTGCTGAGAGAAAAACTTCAACAGAACGTTCTCGATTGACTCCTTTGAAACCATGTCGAAGCCCTTGGCAGGAAACTTTAGCAATACATCTAAGTTGAGAGCTCTTAGCTTCTTCACAASTGAAGTCACAGTTTGACATGGCGTCCGAGATACTGGCAAAAGTGACCTGCAATTGGCTASAAATGTTTCCATTGACATAYGTGTTATTGCGTGACATACTTGTCACGTCACGACCTCCAAGTTGCCATTGGATACTTGTTGCGTTATCTCCTGAAATAGCACACTGGATGGTGACAGAGGTGGTGTTTCCAGACGTGTCGTTGACTATTGACTCTAGCTGTATAATTTCTAGTTGTCTAACTGCAATGAAAGTACAATATTTGCCAGTTAGGACTATAGATTACTGTAATTGAAAAGTTGTGTCGGTATAACAAGAAAATCGTTGGAAGCAAATGGGCTAACTAAATTTCATGGAACATGGTTTGCCCAAATAAAAGATACAGTCTCTGCCTTTTGAGACGCCGAAACTGTCCTGTTCCGAAACCAAAGTGACTCCAAGCTTTTGTTTCTTCTATTGTCCGTAATGAAGTCGATACATGTGGGATACAACGTTTGATGAACTTGGGAAATTATAGCAGATTTTCATGTTTTAACCAATGGGATGGATGGATTATACAATGCGCAATTAGCACCTTCTTGCATTCCTGTGCCGTTTGCTTCCCTAGTTCTTACTCGGGGCATTACTTAAACCAATAAGGACATCAAAACAGAACAATTCAGGAAAATTAAATATTCAAGATGTTAGTCACCACTTTTCGTTCCTCAGTAGGGAAGACATTAAAAAACCGATGAAGCAAGTGCAAGAAAAATAGTGTACTACTACTATACAATATACAAAAAGAGAAAAATAAAAAGTAAAACTGTTTCATGGGTTGTTATAATCCAAGATCTAACTTCAATATGTAGACTTACCCAAAGTAGCTTCTATCAAGTAATCTTTTTGAACGTCATTTGCTTTCGCACGTGTAGCCAGGCACGTCACCGTTGCTGCACATTTCAGTTGAAATCCTTCGATATTTTSACATTTTTGCAGAGAGAATTTATCCTGAGAAATACTGGTAAAGTTAAGTTGAAGCTGGCTTGATGTTATGTCGTTGGCATAGGTGCTGCTAATAGTTTTGTCAGAAAGAGAGTGTCCATCCAGAAGCCATTTTATAGTTACAGCATTGTCGCCTATAGCAGCGCATTCGATTGTTACAAGARAACTACTTGTTGAAGTGACATTTTCAACGACTTGCAAACTTTGGATCTGGAGTTCTCGATCTGAAAATAAATATTGCGATCTATTAACCACAAAAAATGTTTTTTTTAATAGATAGAGAAATATAGATAGAAAGGCATAAAGTGTTCCTATACGGAATCCTTCCCTGACWGCTGATTCGCCAGCCTGACACATCTCGGAAAGAAAGTACTTACCTAAAACAAATTCAASTARATGATCTCGTCTATCTCCATTGGCAAATTCTCGTTCTGCTCGACAAGTCACTGGCATGGTGCACTTAATTTGAAAATCTCCAAAGTTTTTGCACGTGTAGGTGGATTTTATATCTGAAATACTCGTAAAGTTGACCTGCAATTCACTGCTTGTCTTTCCCAGATAKATTGAAAGGCCTTTGGASTTTTCTGTGAYATCGTTCTYGCCAAGAAACCATTTTAAGTCTACATCATATATCTCAGATACCGAACAATTCACAGTGATRAATGAGCCACTTTGGGCGATCATGYTKCCGTATACTTTGAAGTCTGTRATCTTTACTGATTTGGCTGTAATGTAAATGATAAATAAACATACAGTCCGTTCATTTCAATACMGTAGTGTGGTAAACCCGAGTATGGYTCATTGTTAACATCTATTGTAAACAAGAGTCGAGCTGGCAATCTCTATATTTACTTACCTCTTTTACTCTCGTACAAGTCAATCCTCATACAAGGGTTTCCATCCCATTTGGTCGGTAAAATCTTTATAAAACGTGCAATAATCGGAGTAGCAGACCAGTAGACTTTAACTTCCTTCCCGTTCGTTAAATTAGTTGGTATGCTCTGAGAAAATATAAACACCTTTTTCAGTACTWTTGACCATTTATTCAAGAAATGGTATAAAGATTGYTTTRGTTCATTCCAACAATCCCTGCCAAAATWCCTTGATACCRCGACACCCTTGATGCTACTACATACCCMATACTGCCCAAACACTATTTAASAAAGCCCCTGTCGTWTGACWGTTTCACACAGTGAAAAAAGGCYTTATCACAGTARAATTTGTACAATGTATYGACTCACTTTGATTGATTTAAGGTCACTAGTTGTATATCCATATTCAAGATCAAATTCTGTCACCCAATGTGAATCAGTTTCATCACCCTGTACTGCTATTCCAAATACTTGTTTTGCTTTCAGCAAATCGAACTGAAGGAATGAACCACTTGCACTGACAGGACACCAGGACTTTTCACCATACAAACGGGCCTTTCCAGGGACGTGGTCATCGTCCAGGGAGCTCGCAGCCATTATCTGGACGTCGGTGACCTTGTGCAAGCTGTCAAGAATTTCCAAACCAGAAGACGTTTTCCAGGCTGCAAATGAAAAATAATTTACACTCACGTATTCCATTCATCATTAACAGATGCAATCAATGCGTATGCACGCTAAATAGGCAAGGTATAACCTATCAATTTTAACTCATTCATCCATTTTATAAGAGATAAAAAGAGTCGACAATATGAAACAAAGTTTTCTGTATCAAAGATTTCGAAGAGAGAAACAAAATTTGTAAGAAATGCGTCTCATTTTTCCCCAGTTTATAACCGATGAAGGAGGTTTTGTTTTTAGTTTGACAAGATAAAAAGATATTTTAAGATCATGTCCTTTTTTCATGAATACCTTGCTTAAGACCATAAAGTTCTGCTCGGAAGCATTTCCATGTGTTGAATGCCACAGGGTAAATTCTCACAAACTTTGCAAYTTGTACATCAGCAAATGTATTCTTGTCGTAGTGTATTGTAGGGTAGTCCCAGTGGGGACCCGTATTTCCTGGAAGAACCTTAAAGAGATAGGTTTTGATAATTCAGTGTTTAGAGCGGATTTCGTATGAGTGGGAAACGGACGGTACTGTACTGTGACCGTAATCGTACTGTAACCAAATTCTAGTGCCCCCATTGGTTCACCAAAATTGTGAAGGCCAGGTCCGGTAAATGTGCGGTAACCGTGTGGTAACGGTGTCCCACTCATACGAAATCCGCTTTATCATCATGATCATAAATTTCCGTATCGACATCACTGGAGCAAAAAACACCAGTTTCAACACACTAACGTAACCAGAGAACGTTCTATTGTGCTGTTGCAATTTAAGACTTGTGAGACTCGTGTTAATATTCGTACTGGATCTGTGCTATTACTCTTGTTAGAATCGTGATAATCCTTCAAAGCCCTACTAATACTAGCTATGGTATAGATTCGCTGATGCGACTTTAAAGATACTAAAAGCTGCTTGATGAATAGTTTACTTGGTGAACTAGAGGAATATTKCWTCSTCAAAAGTGCACTTATGTCGAACTTGAAATMTCGTGCACTTTTGAGCAAAKTTGTCATACAATAATTCTTCGATATGGCATTGCGAAAGAAACAGAGTCATTACCATCGTCTAAGTTTTAAGTATCATCCTTACCTGGCCTTCAGGGTAAAATTTCCAMGTTTTGCCGTCCATAGAAAACGACATCTTATAGGTCTCTGTCCTTTCGGCTAATTCACCATGTGGYTGTARACTGACAGCACARAGAAGKCGAGGATSACCAAGATCGACCTKGAGCAARGWAA